AATTATAACTATAAAATGTACATTTAAATCTGTAAAAATCTTAATGACAAGAAAACACTATACACAGCTGGGCAGTATATACAAGTATACTCAAAATTGTACTTAAGTACTCAAAGTACTCTCTAAAATTTGCGAAAGCACTTATTGGTTTTAAGTATTATTCATATGAGTAAGTATTCATACTCAGATACTTATTATGAGTATTTTGCGAAGCTATCATTGTGAATTACTCATGAATGCCTCTGACACTATGTTTACAATTTATAACGGAATACTCAAAATTGAGAGAAAACATTGCATGTATTAGTGCCGCGTTTGAATATCTACATCGGTTGCATCTGAGATGTTGTAAATCTTTGATCACGTGATTCAGTATACGTAAATGTAGTAGGACAGATATGTCCGATGTGGATAAACAAACGCTCGAGATGTAAAAAATGCATCGGATGTGGATATTCAAACGCGGCATAGATATAGAGAAAACTTCGCCTAGTGAAACCCGCGTCTTGTCTAGTCAGTTTTGGTGAAAATAAATGTAATTTTTGTTAAATAGCTTCATTCAAATGATATAAAATCATTTTCATTCTGTCAGTCTTCAAAAATAAAATTATTGATTTCAAATATATCAAAATACCACTCAAATCTCCATTTTCCTTACATTTTTTCGTCACTAGAAGTGCGTCCATTTGTCATATTGCAAAATATTGTTTATGTCGTCTTTACTTTATTCTGTCTCGATGCCCGATTTACATATAAATGAGCAATCTATATAAGTATATATCATTGGTCATAAATTAACCTCCAAATCTGGTGCGTTTACGGCAGAGTAAATTTGGAAATTGGAATAATATTCTACCCACGGTACCTACCTAGACGGTAGACTTTAAGAATGTTTATTAAATTTTTTGTTAAAATAATCCAGTTTTCATAAAACATAAGGGTATCAGTAATTTGCTTTAGAAAATCAATGGATTTAGTTCTCAAAATTAGGATATATTTTTTTATAACGCTTGCTACAAAATCAACTTTGTTACCTACCTACTATAGATATTATAACATGCATATTAGGTATGTTATCTATATACCTTAATATTAAATCCAAAATATATAAAATATTGTATATGTATAAATATTAATGTGTATTAATAAAAAAAACTTCAATTATAATTTTTAAAAGATGGCAGATGTCCACAATATTTATTCAACTGTTTTTTTTTTAATGGGACATTAACAAGCCTTTACCCAGACAACACACCAAATCCTTTGGATACCTACTGGACATCCTAATATCCACTGAATGTCCAGCCCATGGTGGATATCTATTTTATATCCATGAGATGTAATTTATAGACATGCAAATGTCCATAAATAATAGTAATTATATAGCAAATTATTAAAAAATTACGTCATTGTGGCTAATAGTACCGTTCAGATATTTAAAATTAATTTTTTTTTAAGATCTATTCAATATCCCATGGATATCCATTAAATATATCAAAGTCTAGGCGCGAACGCAAACCATGGTGGATATCCACTAGATGTAATTTTTGATTTTGCCCTCTAAAAAGAAAGTCATTCTTGGACCGGTTTTGTCCTTATTAGGACTTATTAGGACTAGAATAGCCCGCCTGGCTTTTATTTTACCTAGCCTCTGAACTAGGTACTATAGCGACCTTTGATTTTGCTTACTAATTATAGATGGCGATACCACTATCGCTCGTTGAATATCTACTTATGCTTAACCCGCCGTAATTGAGTTCGACCGAAATTGGTATTGCAATCAGACTCCATTAGAGACTGGAGTCGAGAATTTCTATTTATTGCAGAAGAGTCCTTATAAGGACGAAACTGGTCCAAGAATGTCACATTTGAGTTTGGAATTATTTCCTTTTTTATCTATAGGATATATCCATTGGTTACTTATGAACCTCTACTAAAGGTACCCATAAAATATGTTGCTGAATATCCATAGAATATCTTCTATATCCTGGATAAAGACGGACATTTGGATATCCATATTAGATCCACTGGATATCTATAAAATATCTTGTGGATATATTGGATATCCACAAAATATATTCTGTGGATATCTCTGGGATTTCTTGTATTGTCTGGGAGATACCCATTAGATATTTTGCTGGATTATCCATAGGATAGCTTCTATATTCTCTATACAGACGAACATTTGGATATTCACATTAGATCCACGGGATATTTCTGATATCCTGTGGATATATTGGATATCCATAAAAGATATTCTGTGGATATCTCTGGGTTTTGGTGTGTTGTCTGGGTAGTTAGGGGTCTAATAAATATTTTATGTATTTCCATAACTAACGAATCCCTATAACGACTCATTACTTAAAGGTCCAATAAATAAATATGTATACAATAATTTTTGGGCCATATTTTATATTTTTTATTTTTAGTTAGGTTTTTGTTAAAATGTTCAACTTAGAAAAGAAATAAATGCTGAGAAAAAAATTATACACATCAGAATTTTGAAAATGGTCTACATATTGTGACAAAAGCATAAAAAAGGATATACAAGGAGCTGCTTTGAGTTAAATCTGGAACAGCGTTTTGTTTTTTAGAATAGTAACAAACAAGCCTTAAACAATATCCGTATTTCACGTAATCTAGTAGAACAAAAAAATGTAATTCTGAAAATAGCCGATCTTTAGAAACTTTTATGACATCTTAAGATCCTTAAGTACCTATTAGTTCTATAAAATATCTTAGCGACGGTATTTTAGGGTTACTACTGGAGTTATTAATGTTTCTTTTAGTTAACTGGTATTAATTTAGTTTCATGGGATACAAAAACTCTGGTTTACGGAGGGTGATTTTTGTTTCTCACCTCTTTCACAGGTACCACATTCTCAGTTATTACCTCATCGCTTTCTTCGTATTCAGAAGACACTTAGGTACTTGTTCCATCCCTTTCTTGATAAAATTAAATATAACCAGCCCTTTGCCTCATCTTGAAGACATCACACTTATGGATACGTTTGTCCCCTTTTTAATAAAAAAAGTTTCATACATAATAGCTACAGAAACCGAAACATTTTAAACAGTGTAAAACATTTTGTTGTATAGACTTTTAGTACTTACCTATATTTTTTATTTTTGTTCATGAAATTGACCACATTCAAACCCTTATAATTTAATATCTAAATAGTTCACGAAAATAAATGTTGCGCAGGAATTTTAGCATTAATAAATGTATATTGTTTTTATTAATAATAAAAAAGTAGAACACCATTAACTTTTTAATTTTTATTTTATTTTTAATGTACGTTTTTGTTATTAATTTAGATTATAGAACAGGGTACCTAATTAATTTTATTTTATATTACGTCATGTTGTTCCTTTTCGTTTCCCAAAATTTGTTATTTTCATTTGCTTTATTAATAAATTCCTATCACTGCATATTAGGTTTGGCTACAAGAAAATATTATTTGTTAATAAAGAAATATTATTTCTTATAATTAAAGTAATTACTATATGTGAATAATCCTTTGTTTTCCATCGTAAAATCCACATTCACATTGTTAAATCTTCTTAAAATTCGTTTTCTTTACGTACTTTCAAATAAGTATAATTTGTAAACAATTCTCATCTTAAAAGTTCGTCTAGTCTCGACGCTTTTGCCTCTTGTCGTTTGACTTTCTTTGCAGGCATTGTAATGCGAAGAGACATTCCTTATGACAAATTTTGAGCTCATTGCAAAAACATATATTTCGTGTTCACCTATCGAGTGTTCTCTTAAATGGGACGACAAAGACAGAAAACTCTTGATAGGGACGTATCTCGAATATCGACACACTTCACTAATTGATACTGTCACTTGGAAAAGCGCCGTTGCCAAATTTACCATTAAGAAAATAATTTAGCGAGTGAATAAAGTTATGAGTTCATTAGCTAACGAGATATTTTAACAATCGTTCTTGCAACCGGCTGTAAATAAGACAATTTAGGCCTTAAAAATGGGTAGTAAAGATTTTTAAATTCCGTGAGCGACCTCAAAACCTGTTTTTTACTTTTTTATTTTCGTTAATCAATAAAAACTGATCAATATTCTTATCGGACACTAATTCATTGAAAAGCTTTCATGTTTATCTTGCTTTGGTACAAGCGTCCAGTTTGGAAATTTAGTCGCGCGTATGCCTATTTACGCACCACATTAAAACGTTGGAGAGAGAAAATGGGTGAGTGAAATTGGTGGAGGAGGTAAATTTTGTGAAACAGATACCGAAAAACTTAAACATAAGCCATAAATCGGTCATAAGATAATAAGTCACGTGCTAGCCCACTCACCTACTAGTTTAAACCGTTGGAGAGAAAAAATGGCTCGGCGAATTTTATGGAGAGTTTAATATTTCTTTTGGGAACTTGTCGTCGAATGAACATAATGAAAATGTTAAGAAAATAAGTCAGTTTTCAAGAGAGCTGTACCTCTTGTAATGCCTATAAATATCTAAGCGCCCCTCTCTGAACGTCGTGCTTTTGTGAAATTTTTGGACACTTTAATAATAAGCTTTAAGAAAATAAGTCACTCGTATGCTCACTCGCGCACCACTTTAAAACACTGGAGAGAAACAATGGAACATCGACAATAATGGAGGAAGTTAATTTTGTGAAAACCTAACAAAAACTTGAAAATTAACCAAAAACCAACCGTAAGAAAATAAGTTACGAGCATGCTTTCTCACGCACTACTTTAAAACGATGGAGAGAAAAAATAGCCCATTGAAATTGGTGAAGGGTTTAATATATCGTGTAGGTGAGCACTTATCGTCAAATGAGCATAACGAAAATGTTAAGAAAATAAGTTTAGTAAATCCATGAATTGGTTAATTCGTGAATTCGTTGGACTCATATCATAGTACAATTTAATAATAAATTCAGCCATAAGTCACAAATTTGCACATTAGCTCTAGGACTATTTTATGTGTCTGCAATAAAATGAACAATTTCATTACACATTATTCTTTTAGTTCATCAACTGGATTTTTGAGCAAGAAAACAACAGAGAAAAAAAGATTTATTATGTATAGCATTTATGCATGGGGAGTGCCGTTTTGTTTTGTAACAATGGTATTGATAATAAATACGCATGGTCACCCAAAATCTCACTTTTATCCAAATCTTGGAAGTGGAGCTTGTTTTTTAGCAGGTAAAATAAATATTAATACAGAGAGTCCTCAAAAATATAAATTTGCGTTATTTTATATTTACTTTTTATGTTAATATACAGAGTGTAACAGAAAGATGTTTAGTACATTCAACCGCAGTTTCGAAAATAAATCGATTTAAGCGAACTTGCATACATAAAAAATGGGTAGTTAAAACTTAGAGTGTTAACGTCATTGAGATAGAATAAAGAGATGATGCTATGACGATACTTAAAGCTAGTCAGTTAAGGTAAAAATAAAGGCTTTTTTTGTATTGTTTTATTTAAATGATATAAAACCATTTTTATTCCGTCAATCTTAAAATATACAATCATAGATTTCAAATAAATCAAAGTACGACTCTAAGTCGCCATTTTGATTACACTTTTCCGTCAGTCAGGCATCGCTAAGTGCGTCCATCTATCATATCGCAAAATACTGTTTACATCGTCTCTTCTTCATTCTATCTGGATGGTTAAAGTTGTCATTTTAGAAATGATTTTTTGCTCTTACTTTAAAAGGCTTAACATATTTTTAAGAAAATGTACGTAATGTAAGTATACACTGATCAATAAAATGGACTTAGTGACGTTTAAAATTGTTAATTCTATAGGTTTTTAGAAAGGTTCCGCACCCCTTCGGCCCCTCTACTTTTTTAGACAATAAAATTCAGTTAAAAACAGGATTCCACTAAAATCCTACGTATAACAAATATTCATTGGTTTACGATCAATATAAAATAGTTATTTATGCAACAAGTGTGTAAAGTAACCCTTTTTTGACTTTACACATGAATTGCATATAATATTTTTTCTACTACCGGAAGTTTTATCAAAAAATGAAGGTTTCACGTACATTTTCTTCACGAACTAGTGCGTAAAGTATATTTCTTCACGCACTAGTGTGTAAAGAAAGTTTAATTTTTCGTTCTTATTATAACACTTTGGTTTGTAATAAAATATAATTAAACTATTTTAATATACATATTTTCACCAACTTAAAACAAATTAACTAGATTAACTTAAGACTTAAATGTTATTATTTAGTTATTAATAATAAAACGAATTAACTAGATTATTATGGAATTGAATATAAGTTATTTATTTATTAACAATATTAATGTGAAAAGTGCAGTTTGTGCACTTGTTAAAACCTAATCCTTTAGCTTGCTCCATGCTAGAGTTTACTGTGGTTTCAGAAACTGATGACGTAGCATTACTAACAACATTAACATTGGGTACTAAGTTGTTTAAATTATTATAGCTAAAGTTAGTTACTTCATAACATGAAAAATTGCCAATAACGTTGCTAACTTGCGAGGAAATAGAAGGGGAGTTATCTTCTATTACATTCGCATTAGAAATATTTTGTGATGTGCAAGGGATATTATCATCCATTAATATTAAATTAGATACATTATTACTTTTACTTAAAGTAGAAACTACGTAGCCCTCTGCGACGGTAGACGACTTCCAGCCCCCATGTTTTTTAACTGTTAGAAGGTCACCTCCAGAATTTGCCAACATTGTTGCTGATGACCTCCTAAAACAATGTTCATTATAGATAGTCGGATTAGGCGATTGAATATAATTTGCTATAATAGATGCATTTTGCCAAATGTATTTATGCCTACTGGCTGTTTGGTGCACTTATTGTTCTCATATTTCAAAAAGAATCTGGAATTCGCCTTCATAGGAGGTCTTAAGGCAATATATTTTCTGATATAAGATAAATAATCAATTTTTGAATTGGTGGGATTTAAAATAGTAAAAATTCTTTCCGTCCCATTTTTACTTTCCTATCTGTATACAAATAAGGAGAGTATAGGAATCATGATTTTTTTCGACCTCCAGTTTTCGACAGATTTTTACGTTTTGGGGTCCCCTGAATCCGTTTTGACTATTTTTGCGATGATTTCTGTGTGTGTGTGTGTGTGTGTGTGTGTGTGTGTGTGTGTGTGTGTGTGTGTGTGTGTGTGCGTGCGTGCGTGCTTGCGTGCGTGCGTGCGTGCGTGCGTGCGTGCGTGCGTGCGTGCGTGCGTGCGTGCGTGCGTGCGTGCGTGCGTGCGTGCGTGCGTGCGTGCGTGCGTGCGTGCGTGCGTGCGTGCGTGCGTGCGTGCGTGCGTGCGTGCGTGCGTGCGTGCGTGCGTGCGTGCGTGCGTGCGTGCGTGCGTGCGTGCGTGCGTGCGTGCGTGCGTGCGTGCGTGCGTGCGTGCGTGCGTGCGTGCGTGCGTGCGTGCGTGCGTGCGTGCGTGCGTGCGTGCGTGCGTGCGTGCGTGCGTGCGTGCGTGCGTGCGTGCGTGCGTGCGTGCGTGCGTGCGTGCGTGTGTGTGTCCTCGATAACTCACGAACGGATACAAAGAAAAACACCAAATTTCAAACTTAAGCTTTGTTCCGGCCTTCAGTGAACTGATTAGATTTTGGGCAGAGTCGGAACATCTGGGGAGGTACTTTATGGGTGGTAATTTTTATGGAATATATCTGTTATCTACGTTTAAAAAAGAAAATTCTACAAATAAAAGTTACTTATAATATTATTATCTATAATTTTTGTTCTATACAAAATTTTCCTAAAATGATCCGTATTCGAGAAATTTGACAAAATGTAAAAAAATAATTTCTTATAAAAAAGTTGTTTGTAGTATAAGTTTTTGTTTTATATATAATTTCTCTAAAATTGACCGTATTCGAGATATTTGAGAAAATGTGTAAATTACGAATTTGAAGAAAACTCAAACTTAAGTTTTATTTCGGCCTGAGGTGATATGATACTTTATTGGAGGTCGTTTTTATATTTTATGAAATATATCTGTTCAAATAAAAGTTACTTCTAATAATATTATCTAAAATTTTTGCTTCATGCCAAATTTTCCTGAAATGGTCCGTATTCGAGAAATTTGACAAAATCTGCAAAATTCTGATTTTTAATAAATTGTTAAACTAAAAGTTGTTTGCGATATCGATCTCTATAATTTTTGTTTTTTACATGATTTTTCTAAAATGGACCGTAATGGAAAAATTAGAGGAAAAAAAATAAATTTAAATTTTTCAGTATTTTCGTTTTCAATTAATATCTATAGAAAAATGTTTCGAGTTAGATGTATGTGGAAAATGTATGTATTTAGTTTATCCTCTAAACATTTATAGAGGTGCTGCAATAAGTTGTACAAAATAACCGGAAAAACATATAATAACTAGATAGGAAAGTCATGTCTTGGACACATCATCAGATTTTTTATGTAAGCAAGTTCGCTTAAATGGGCCTATTTTCGATCCCAGAAATTGAGGTTACATTTACTGTACACCTTTTTGTTGCACCCTGTATATCTACATATACATTAGCATTTCTTTTTATTTATTTATTTAAAGTTAGAATACATATTACAGACGTATTCCATTTCCAATATTAGCATTACTGTCGTTACTATATTAAAATAAAAAATGTTGTATAATTTTGTCCTATTTTTTTTTATTTTCAGCTATTGTAAATTTCCCCATATTTTCATCCAATGTTTTTTTTTAATACTGCTGTAAATTCTAAACGATATCTTTGAGTAAAAATAATTCAGTATTTTCAGGGACTCTCTGTATAAAATAATGCTCTATAAATTATTAATCTTAATTCAATGTGCTCTACTTAAATTTTACAGAGGGATGGCCAATGTTCTATTTTTTCTATTTACCAATAGGCATACTTCTCACTGTTAACATTCTGTTATTCATTGTGACATCATTAAAAATATTCAAAATAAAAGGAGAAACAAAAATGTTGAAGAGGACAGACAGTAAAATACATACTCATGAGGATGACAAACAAAAGTAAGTACAAAAATAAATTACACGTATTATTACCATTATGAAATTATTCTTGTTAAACATAAAAAGTTTAAAGTTTACATTAGGATAACCGTATCCAAATTAGAGTGCAGTGAGGTGAAATGAAATAATATTTCTGGATTCCAATTTTTCAGTGTGTTATGCCTAATGAGTAATTGACAGAACAAGTATGACAAATTGTATTTTACCTCACTGAGAAAAAAAAATATTAAAATAGAAAAATAGTGCCTCTGGAATAAGTTTCTATAAGGGTTATATTTAACCGTGCACCAAAGTAATATTGATATGATCTCGAAATATTTGTCCTGTGCCAATAAAAATCATAGTTGAGCTCCAAAATTTAATTACCAAATTATTTATTTTTGAGACTCAAAGTATTGAGTTTTAAAGTTTATCGGTTGATGAGTCGTCTTTGTAGATGAGTCATACATAAAATTCTTAAATTCAACCTAATTCTCAGATGGTTGTCACCTTAGAGCATATAAGACTAAAAATATCATTCAATGTATTTTGTTATGTATAAGCGGGGTCATCATTTTTGGCGTGAGGGGAGAGGGGTAGGTACTCCATTCTCAATGGCGTACGGTTTGAAAGGGTTAGCATTTATGTTTACCATTTAAGCACTGTACTTTGTAAGGGGTTTTCTCGCCTCTGAAAAAATTGTCCCTTACTAATGGCGCTGGTTGTGGGCGGATTTTTGGATATGGTTTACTCCACAAGCTCTCGAAACGGCGTCGAAAGTACTCGGGTAGCTACAGATAAAGATAAAAAATTTCAGGAATCAAAGGTCACTTAGACACAGGTAATAGTAGGCCACAAGTAACGGGCTTTAATCGTTGCATGGGCTGGTACAGAATTTATCACTAGCTGAAATACAAGGAGGAAATAAAGTATGGAATTAGTAACCAGTAATACGGCAAGTTAACATTGACACATATATTGTTTTAATCTATTTACAACATAAAAAAGAAATAAATTAAGGTATTTCAACGCCCACCCTCACGGTAATATATACAAACCCTGAACAAAAATAAACAAACAAAACGGACGGAAAATGACTTCCGAATAGCCTCAATCAGACGTAAAAAAAAGAAATCAATAATTGTAGTAATCACGGTCGCAGCAAAAGTTTATTATAGAGATGTCTATTCGATTGTTGAGCTAAAATAGTAACTTGCTATTTCGTTCAGGAGAAATATTAATTCGGTCTTAGGAAAAATTTACTATTGGACTATTTTTAAGGACACAAGAAAAATTAACTATTTAACAAACTAAGAATGCAATTTATTATTTTTCTACAAAAAATAATATTTACGGTCGTAGGAAAATTTAATTGTTGAATTGTCTAATCGGTATTGCATATACGGTTGCAGATAATGCGAGGAGACAGGTTCGGGACAGTACTACTTTCAGGGCTGAAAACTAACTAACAACCGGGATAGCACATTATCTCTGAATGAAGTGATCGTAATCACGAGCCGCTTCAGATAGGGGAATGATGCCATTTAAGTTCTCTTAAAATTTGCGGTTCGGAGTATAAAATAAAAGAAAATGTCTCGTCGCAATTCTATTAAGATAACAAATCAAAATATTAGACAATTTCCAAACAGTTCCGACCAATTATTTATTGGTTAAAGCTTTAAATAAACTAAAATGAAATTCTAAAAAAAAGAAAAAGGTGCTTTCTAACAAAAATAAATTAAAGTTTTTCTTAATCAAAACAAATTTCAGTTTTTAACTCAACACGAAATAATAATATTTAAAAATAAATCAAAATAAAACGGTTTTCAATAGCACGGCTTAAAGTCTCGAGCGAAAAAAAATCAATTTATAAAAAGAATGACAACAAAGTACCTTTCATCAAGATCGCGGCTAGAAATTTATATCGGTTTTAAATTGTATATCTCGCGAGCAATATCAGAATCGTAAATTTCAGTGTCTAAATAATTTATCTATTTTCGGCTGTTCAATAAATCGGTGTATTAGGAACTGAAATTTTTAATTGACTCTCGGAGCTTGTTCAATCGTCTCTTCCCTTTACAAAGCAGAAACCCTACCATTACAACTCATGCACGCAGAGTATCTCGACGATTTGATTTGAACAGCGATAAACTGATATACAGGGCATATCCACGAAGTTAAAATTAAGTAAAAATCGAAATTAATAACCGGAATTAGTTTAAAAAAATATTAACGAAAATTGACTTTATTACAAATTTCACAATAAATAATAATTTAGATAATTCATTCACATGATTAATAAACAAATTTATTAAACAGTGTTCTTTTTCTATTTATGTTAATCTTTCGTTATACATTGTATTGTATAGTACGGGAAGTGTTGTAAATTGGGCATTGACGATATTGACTGGACACTAACGTCAGCAGCCATATTTGCTGGCTAATATCGTTATTATCTGGACAGTAACGAAAATGCCAATTAATCGTGGACAATGTTGATAATATTTTTGTTGCATCTTTGTCCTACCATTAACGATATCGACCATCAATGAGTGGACAATGTTGAAAATATATTATTTTTTGCATCTTTGTCCGACCATTAATGACATTGACTATCAATAAGTGGATGAAGTTGATTTTAAAGAATTAAGTTGAGACTGTGACTTAAAATTTTTATTTTCAAGGCTTTACCAGTAAGCTACTGTAAAATTAACATGAAAACATAATTATATAAATTAATCAGTTTTATTGGAGCATGATAATGATTTATGATATTTGGAATTACAAATGTTTTTTCTTGGCGCGACAAGCGCATTTATTGTTTTTGCATCCACCCTTACAGTGACAACGCTTATATTCTTGTTTTCCAAAAACACTGTTTTGTGTTGCAGTTTCTCTAAGTGAGATTTCTTTTCCTTTAATGGCGTCACTAAGGTTTTCCAATAATATAAGCTACTCCAAACATGGATTAAATTCAGATTTTGTAAATTTTTGCTGTATTTTATTCAAACCCAAATCTTTGCGGTTTGCGGCCCACGCATAAGTGGGCGCTAACGATAACGCCCGGGCAGAGTCGTAAAAAGGCTATGTCATTTATAGTTTATCAACATTGTCCAATTTAAGCGGATGTTTACGTTATTGGCCGGTTATTATCAATAATGCCCAATCAAAAAGGAGATTTACGACAATGACCGGCCAATATCGTTAAAGACCGAAATATCATCTTTGACCATAACAAATGTAATAAAAACATAGTTATTGGTTGTGCCTAGATATAATATATGTGTGTAGAAGTAAGCTATTTATAAAGCAAAACAAAAAATGAAATAAACATTAATGCTATCGAATTCCCATGAAATTAATTTATTATTTATTTTTTTAGGTCACCACTTAACAGTTAAAAACCAAATACCTATAGGATGGGATGAATACAGGAAAAATACATTTTATTCGTGAGATATATTATACACATTTTTAAGCAAAAAATATTCAGTTGCATTTTAATGTCAATATTAAAGCACAAAACATTTTGAAATTATCACACAAAACTACATACTACTAATATATACAAAATAGATACTATATACTCATACAAAAGATAATATAAAATACAGTAGGTATTCGTAATAGACATATTTATTAAATTTACAAGCAGAACACAATAGCTTCTTTTGCTTCAACTAACTGAGTTTGTTGAAACTTGCTGCCAACATCAATATATCCAATATATTTTTGGCCAGTCCATTTCACCCTTTGTATAATTGCCATTTCATCCATCAAAAGATTCAAAAAACCTTTCTTATAACCTTTTGACTTTCTCCGCTTTTAAATTTCAATGCTCTTCCGTGAATCCCGAAGAACCATAATAATTTTAAAATGTGTTGTGTTCTAATATAGACTGTAAAATGTAACTAAACATTTTTTTGCCTTAAAATGTGTATGAATTATCTCACGAATAAAATGTATTTTTTTTTTTGGTATTCATCCCATTCTATAGGCAATTGGTTTTTAACTATTAAGTGGTACCTAAAAATAGTATATTATGCAACGATCATGTAATGATGGTTATTAATACACGAGCATTAACCGGGATACGAAACGAGCCAAAGGCGAGTTTCGTATGGTTTATGCGAGTGTTTTAATAACCATTACATGAGAGTTGCATACGCTATTTTTTCTACGCCCGATAAATAATCAAGACCTATAAATATTCTATTTATATTGGCATTGAACACAATAACAGTAATTACTCGTACTTCTATAAAAAATTCTACAAAATTGTAATTAATGGTATTACCTTGGGTATTGGTATTACCACAGATTTTTGGGGCAAAATATTTTGTACTGCATTTTCTCCTTTCTCCGATATGTGTGGAGGAGTCTTCTATATCGCTGATATCAGACATTTTAATATTATGATTATCGAAGTTTAGCTATCTACGAAAATTTAATACGTTTTGACAACTAAAACAATTACATAGGAATTTAGGACAAACGTCAAACATCATGCTTGATTGAAAAATAGTAGGTTTCTATTGATTAAAAATCTGTATCATAATGAAAAATCTGTATCATAATGGGTATCATTATGAAACGGATTATGGGCATATAAGTGCATTATTATAATACGGGTGTAGAAAAAATAAATAATAAATAAATTTTATGGGAATTCAGTAGCATTCATGTTTATTTCATTTTTTGTTTTGTTTTATAAAATGGCTTAATTCTACACACATATATTACATCTATGCACAATCAATAACTATGTTTTGATTACATTGATTAATAATTTTATTATAAAACATGTACATTTAATATTACTACTACTAGAAATAAATTATTGTTATTTGTTTTTATTTTTCTTTTATTTACTCTATATAAAAAAGATTTCAGTTTCTAAATGATCTACTTGAACTAAACAAAAATAATATGTAACCACGAATTCAGTTGAAAGCATACAGTTTCAAAACATATCTACAATAAAAAAAAGTTTTCAATTCTAAACGAACATACTTAGTCAT